GGGCCCCCGAGCTCGCGCCCGGGTCCCCGGCCAAGCTGGAGCCCAAGCCCATCGTCCCCAAAGCCGAGCCCAAGGCCAAGGCCCGCAAGACGGAGGCCCGAGGGCTGTCCAAGGCGGGGGCCAAGAAGAAGGCTCGGAAGGAGACGGGGCAGGCAGCCGAGGCCGCCGTGGAGGTGGACGAGGTGAGGCTGGGGGCGGGAGGACGTGTCCCAGCTCGGGTCCCCCGGGGCTGGTTGGGCCCGAGGCGGCATTCCAGGGCGGATGATTTGGGCGTGCGGAGGGTGATGGCACAGGATGGGGCAGGGGAAAACCCCGCAGGGATGTGGGCTTAGTCAAGGGTAGCCTGAGCAGGACTTGGTAGCATAAATCACAGTGCAGAGTCCGCCCACCTTGGGGCAGGGGGCAGGCCTTTGTGCCTGCGATCAGGTCAGCAGGGGCAGTGCTTTGGAGAAGGGGGTGCTGGGAGCCCTAAGCAGGTTGGCGGCGCGCGGGGGGGGGGTGGTAGTGAGTGCACCTGGGGAACCAGAGCGATCTGAGCTGAGCACCAGTAGCATCTGCTACAAGGTGTGGTAGCAGGGAGGGCTTCCTGGCAGTGGAGGAAAGACCCAGTGGGGCTTATTAGAGGGGGCTGGGAGCTGGAAACTCAGGGACCGCGAGTGAGGCAAGGTTGTGTGGGACCAATGGATGCCGTCCAGGGGGGGATTAGCAGAAAGGAAGGCATGTTCTGGCTTCCAGGCCCAGCGCTGCCCACTGTGTGCGTTGGGACACATCCTTGCCCCTCTCTGGACCCTGTATGGTTTGGTTAATCATTTCCCAGAATCCTTCCAGCTCTGATGGTCTGCTGTCCAGGTGCTGGACACAGCAGTGGGCAAAACGAGGGGTGCTCTCAGGAGGGTTCTTTCAGAAGTTCCTGCTCCTTTGTCCAGCCTTGTTGGGTCTTGGGTGGGTGGTGTTTCAGAGGCCATGGGAACTCAGCTTCTCTCCACTGCTCCCAGGTCCCCAACACCGTCCTCATCTGCATGGTGATCCTGCTTAACATCGGCCTGGCCATCCTCTTCGTTCACCTCCTGACCTGACCCTTGTCTACCAGGTGCGTCCCCTGGGGGAGGGGAGGAAGGGGAGCCTGTAGAGAGCTCTGGGCACCAGGGAGATGGAGGAAGGTTGTTATCTACTGGGCATCTGTCCTGTGGCTAATTGAGGCCCGGCCCCCAGCAGAGGCAGGGACGACGGATTTGTGGATTTGATAGATCATGCCTTCCCCAACACACACACACACCCCTTGTTAGCTCAACATGTGCAGAGCACCTGCTCCCTGTCAGGTGAGCCCTGGGGGCTTCACTCACTCACTCATTCATCATTCATTCATTCATTTGACCACCATTTACTGAGCAGATGCTCTGCTGGGATCTAGGGATACATCAGGGACCCACTCCTGCCCTAAGAAATGGGGTGAAGATGAGAGTAAACCCTTAACTTACAGCTCATTATGCAGAAGTCGGACATCCAGAGGTGCTGCAAAACAGCCTCTCCCAGACTCCCACAGTCTCACCTGAGCTTGCCTGAGATGGGCAGACCCTCTTCTCTCGGCCCTCCCTTTCTCTTTTGCCCACTTCAGTCTGTAATCCCTCTGCCCCTGGCCTCCCCATCCCCCAGTCCTCCCAGAAACCCCCGCTGTCAGTCAGTCAGTGTCCCATGCTGGAGCTGGGAGGGCTTGGTAAGACCGGTGAAAAAGAGCTGGGCTGGGCTATGCTGGGCTGAAGGAGAGTGGCTCTCATGGGTCTCAGGGTGAAGTATCCACAAGACAAAATCTTTTCCCTGCTAGGACCAGCCTTCACACCATAAATCCTGTGCTTGGTGATGCTAACAGTTTCTGCGACCTGCCCTGCCCCCAACCAAAGACCCCCGCCCCCCTCCTCAATCCCAGCTTAGTGTGGGTTGGAGGTTCCTACTCAGTCCCAGGACAGGAGAAGAACTCCCTGTGCAGTCACCCAATAAATAGCCAGTGACAATATTAGCCTGGTAGGTGGTGTCCTGGGGGTGAGCGCTGGGCTCTGCTGGGTCCTCTGTTTCACAGGGGATCTGGGTGTGTTGGCTGCAGGAACTGACACTTTATGACCTGAAGGGTGGAAGCGTGAACGAAATGACAGGAGGAGGAGGGCTGGGAAGAGAGTACCAGGCACAGGGACAACAAGGCTGGGAGAGGCCTCACGGCCTTGACTCTGAACCTGTTGAGTCAGAGCCCAGGGGCAGGGTTGCCCCGGAGACTGGGAGAGGTGGGTCCTGGCCCCAGAGAACATCAAGCCTGAGGCTTGAACCCCGCCTCAAACCTGGCTCAGCCTCTTCCTTTCTCCCTCCCTCCCTCTCTCACCTGAGCCTCTCGCTGTCTCTCTGCAGAGCCAGCAGTCCCTGCTGAGGATGTGAGGACCCATCTTTCTGCATTACCAGGCAGGGTGGCCAAGGAGGACTGAACTCTGGACCTGGAGCCCTGGGGTCCAGCTCACATCCACACCACATCCGTTTAAGGAGGCCTCCTGTGGCCCTGCGCTGGGTGGCAGTGGTGCCCAGAGGAATGGAATGTGCTGGGGATCCTCCGGGAGCTCTGTGCCCGGTGGTAGGGGAAGCCTCAAAGGAAGAGCCCTGGTCTCTTGAGCGCGCCTTTCCCTCATCCTCATCCATTCCCTCGCCTTGCTGCTAGGGTCCCCCTACCCTGAGCTTTTGTGTGTTTTGGGAGACGTCACTAAACCAAGGTAGTAATACGAACTCCCAGCCCCTTTCCTTGCACCCCTGCCCTGATTTATTTTAACCGTCTGGCTGTGGGGGGAGTGACAGATCCCCGAGGCGGGCGAGCCAGGGAGCCACCCCGCCCCCCCGACGGGGCAGAGGCCCTGCCTTTCGTGGGCTTCGCGCAGCACACACTCTGTCCCTTGCTTACAGATGTTCTGGATGACAATAGAGGCAATGGACATGCTTAGTTTGAAAATCCCAGGACACAGTGCTCCTGCCTCCTCCCACCGGTTCAGTCAGCTTCCCTCCTGGACCAGTAGAAGAGGTGGAGATGCGAGGCACTGGAGCCTGGGGTGGGAAGAAGGGCCAAGGGGCAGGTGGGATGGCCCCTGTCTTTGAGTGTGCCTGAGCCCGAGGCTGCCTCGCATCTGGGGCTTCCAGTGGGCCCAGGGCACTCAAGGGCCACCCCGCAGGGGCCCCGGGGCTGCCAGAATAACACCGGGATGTCCTATGAATTGGTTTGTCCGTTTCCCTCACCAGGGCCCACTGCAGCCTCAAGGGAGAATGAGCATGGAAACCCTTGGAAGCCCAGGCAGATTTCTCTGGGGACAGACTCTCAGGCAGGTGCTGAAGACAGGCTATTTGTCAACCATCATTTCCCAGGGAGAGAAGAGCAAGTCTGAGGTCCCCAGTGGGTGCAGTCTGTTGGATAATGAGCCCCTTGGCTTGCTTGGCAGAAGATGGTATTTGCATGTAGCTCATTACAGATGTTTCGTATCACACTGGATCTCCAGTCCCTTGTGCTTGCTGGGCTGGGTGGAGGCTGAGGGCTCACGGTCCCGTGAACCTGGGAGGACAGAGGAAAGGGCTTCTAGGCCCCTTCAAACCCAGGGAAGGTTGTGGCAATGGCATCCAAGCAGAACCGTGGGGATGCTGCTCTCCTGCTTATTTCTGTGGACCTTGGGGGCTTTGGTGTTGTGATCCAGCTCTGCAACCTGGAGTCTGTTTCTGATGAGGTTGGCCTCGCCTTTCCCCCTCGGTACTTGGGCACCTTCCTCCAGCTCCACGCGTGCTGTTTCAAGCGCCGCTGGGGCCTCATGGTGGAGCTGGAACCTTGGACTGCGTTTCTGTGGAGAGGAGCCTGCGGATTCTCCTGTCCTCAGCCAGCCTGTGGCTCTGCGTCTGTTTGGGCTTTTCTGGACTCCGAGGGAAGGACAGGGCTGGGCTGGGGGCACTGCTCAGGGCTGGTGGGCCCCTGCCTCGGCTCTGAGAGCATTGTCCAGGTTTGGGGCTGGCCCAGTGCTGGAGATAAGCCTCTGGGTACCAGAGCTCCCGGGCCTAGGGTTAGGGCTGGTGCTTGGGGTGAGGGTTCTGGATGCTGCCGTCTGTACAATAATAAACCTGCATCTGCTCGTGGGCTCTGGAGGAGCTGCAGGGTCTGCTTGTGGGCCCAGCCTGAGGGACTGGCTGAAGCGGGCAAGAGAGGCTGGGGGCCCTGTCTTTTTCTTACAGTTCCCATCATACCTCTTCGGGGCAGCCAAAGGGCTTCAGTTCGGCTAAGGCGGATCAAAGACCTTCTAAGGCAAACCCTGGATTTCTAAAGCAGACTTCCAGAACCTTCCCTGAGCAGCACGTGTTAGAGGAAAGAGCCTGCCCTTCGAGGTTAGGTCCTCCTGGCCTCCTGTCCCACGCAGCCACTTATGTCTCTTCTGACCCTCAGTTTCCCCATTTCTAAACAGGGAAAATAATAGTACCTCCCTCCCTCCTGAGACTGTGGTGGGGATTCCATGAAGTGTCGATGCTCGTGGAGGAAAGCCCGGCTGAAGAAGGAGTGGAGACATGGAGACTTGGATCATGATTGCCAAACACCCCAGTACCTCTTGCATTTTGGTTGAGGACCCCAGAAGCCGCAAAAGCGTGGAGACGACCCAGGTCCCAGTTAGATAGTCACAGAACGTCTCAGAGGGGGACCCAGTTGCCACCTTCCTTCTCTACAGAGGCCCAGAGAGGAGAGATTTGCCAGGGGTCACACAGCAAGTCAGCGGCAGGAAAGCAGTTGTCCCGACTCGTGTGTGAAGAAGCACTTCCGTGAAGGTTCTCCCGAAGCTGGCTGCCCCATGGGACAGTTGGAGGGGCGGGTCCCTTTCCCCTCCTCCTCACCCCTCCACAGGCAGCTCCCAGAGTGAGTGGGGGCTCAGGACTCCCACTTTTCTTCCCGGTGCCACCATGGACTCGCTGTATGTCATTCATTCCTTCTGTGCCTCAGTTTCCTCTTCTGCCAAAGAGACTAGAATCCCTGCCCGTGGCTTTCTTCACAGGCAGTGCAGTGAGAACCAGATGAGGGGGATTGTGGGTGGTAAAGAGGTGTTCGAAACCCTGGAATGATCCAGGAATCCCAGGAAAGAGGAGGGGCTTGGAGGGACCACTGGAGGGGTGGCGAGGATAGGAATGAGGAGGGAGCTGCTTAAACCTGCAGGGGTTCTAACAAAACCCACTGAGGGAAGGAGGGTCTGTAGACTGTGTGTGTGTGTGTGTGTGTGTGTGTGTGTGCGTGTGTGTAGGAAATGGGAGTGAGGGGTGGGGGACAGAGGATGACTGCATCAGAATCACCTTGGATGGTTTGAAATGAAGGTTCATTCCTGAGCCCCCAGGAGCCTCCGTGTCAGGGAAGGTTGGCCAGAGTCAGGCGCCCCCTGGTGCCTCAGTCGCGCACACAGACTGTCCCAGTCTTGGCCAGTGCCAGCTCTAGGAAGTTTGGCCCGTGCTCTGCCATGTCCAGCATTCATTTAAGGTGTCTTGTGCCACAGGGGAACTTGAAACCACCCCATGGGCATTGCCGGGGCCTATGACCACTGACGGCTACCTTGGGGTCTTGGCAGGAAGCTTCCAGGGCAGTGGGAAAGGACACTCAGGGAGCAAGCAGAGGTCCCTCTGTCGGGGTATCCGGGCAGAAGGAGCTTCAGTTTGCTGAAAAAAGAGCCCAGGACCCTGTAAGGAGGCGTGTGAGCAGGGTGGAGGGGGAGTGGGGCTGGTGTGGGGCTTGCTGCTCCAGAGGGAAATGGTAGGGGGCCCTGCAGTCAGAGTCCCAGCCTGGCCTCTGGTCCTCCAGCTCCTGGGGACAGCTCAGCAGCTGGAGGGCAGGGCTCCCACCCCAGGAAGGCCTCCCTCAATGGGCTCCTCATCCCCTTCTGGTCCTAAGAGGAAGGAAGTCATCTCTCTGGGCAGAAACACAAGTGGGTGAAGGGTGTGTGTGGAGTGGGATCCAGCTGGAGATAACGATAGTACACAGTGTCCCCCACCCCTGGCACCCCCGGGCACCTCCTGTCTGGGAGGAAAGCAGCTGATGCACTCATCCTCACTGGGGTGTTTGAAAGTTCCAGGGGAATTTTCACTGTAAAAGAGAAGTCTGGATACAGCAATGCATGATCAAAGGAGGACTTCGCTCCAGTGAGATTTCAGGTATCCACAGGGGTTCTGTTTTTTTGGTCAGGGACTCCAAGGCAGAGTAACCCCTCCTCAGCTCCAGCCAACAAAAGAAAAAAGAAGTAACAGTGGGGCATCCGTCTGTTTCTCCTCCCACGAGACGGAGGATATTGGCAGCGTGGGGCCAGGGGTGTTCTGAGTGCTAGGATCACGCTGCCATCGGATCCTGCTAGGATCATAGCCAGCCCTTAGTAATGGCCATTAATATCACTTGCCTGCCTGGTGATATTACATTGTCTCATTAAGCTGTCAGCCACTCCATGGGATTGTAATTGGAGGTGGAGTGATGGAGGGTAAGAGTGGAGGTGAATGGCCTGTCGCCTACTTGCACATGGCAGAACTGGATTCAAACCCATTGTCTGTCTGACCCGAAAGCGTAACTTGGCTCCTAACCATTTTCTTCGGCCCGCTACACTGCTCTGCAGTTATCGAGTATGACCACCGGGGGGCGCCACGGCTCCACACACGAGTGGTCTCATCAATTCGCTCCTGAGAAGGCAGGCCGCTTTTATAAAAAATTCATCACTATCGCTCTCCTCTGACTTACCACAATAATAACAGCTCCTATAAATTAAGCACTTACTATGTGCCAGGCCCTACACTGAGCACTCCACGTGTGTTATTTCATATATTCATCACACCAGCTCTATGATTTTTTTTTTTTAGATTTTATTTATTTATTTGAGAGAGAGAGCTCGAGCAGGGGAGTGAGGGGCAGAGGCAGAGGGAGAAGCAGAATCCCCACTGAGCAGGGAGCCCGACGTGGGACTCGATCCCAGGACCCTGAGATCATGACCTGAGCTGAAGGCCGACACTTAACCGACTGAGCCACCCAGACACCCCAGCTCTGATTTTGAAACACCACTGTGTTTTGCAGATAAGAAGCTAAAATTCCAAACCAGCTCTGTCTGTCTTCAAAGCCCATCTCTTAGCCATGTCCTCCATGGAAAGCACAAATTTGATGCCTCTGGCTGGCAAGCTGGTTTTGCTTTGGCCAGAGCAGTGTTTTACAGCACGCTGAATTTAAATGCCTTTTGGCAGGGTCGTCACTTTCCACTCAACCACGCCCTGCCCTGTCCTCATCTGTCTCATTCCTTTGTTTATGTTACCTGCCCAACTCTGAGGTCATCTGAATTTGCAACTCCATTTATGCTAATAACATTTCAGGGACTGGAATCAGATCTAGAGAAAAAACCAAAGGGGAGCTTGGAGGTTTAGGAAGGCACCCGGGAGAGATGCCAAATGGTTGTGGCCCGGTGTCATTCTGGGGATGGGGGAGGCAGCCCTGTCCTGCGCTCTCCCCTGACGCGTCCCAGAACAGAACGTTCTCCGAGTCATTCCAGCGTGCTGGCCCCATGTCAGATGTGTGGGCCTCCTGGGACGGACGGTGGTGAGCAGGAGGCAGATGTGGCTTGTTTGGACTCCCAGTGGGGTGATCTGGCTACTTTACGCACCCAGGCGAATCCTTCCAGAATTGGGTCTCTGACGATTTCCTTTGGCCTGGCCCACGAGCCAGTGGTTGGACCTCACCCTCGTTGCAGACTTTCTAATCAATACCAGCCACCCTGTCTGTTAGGGCTGCGCCGGGTCTCCCCGGTAACTCCTATGTAGAAGCCTGAACCCCCGGTACCTCAGAATGTCCCTGTCTTTAGCGACAGGTCCTGCAAAGAGGTGATCTTGGCCTTCAACAACAGACATTTATTCTCTCACGCTCTGGGGTCTGGAAGGCCAAGATCAAAGCGTCGGCAGGGTTGGGGTCATCTGAGGCTCCTCTCTCCACCTTGCCCACGGCTGCCTTACCTCATGTCCTCACGTGGTCTCTCCTCCGTGCACAAGAGCTCTTCGTGTCCCCCCGTGACCAAATTTCCTCTTGTTGTAAGGACACCAGTCCAGTTGGATGAGGACCCACCCCAATGGCCTCATTTTACCTGAATCGCCGCCCCCACATGCACACCAGCTACACGGACGCGCCACGTGCACGTGACATGTATCTTGTGCGCACCACGCACACCGCGCACAGACACGCACGCTGCAGACAGGTGCACAGCACACGCATGTGTGCGCACTACGTGCAGGTGCGAACACACCACGTGCACACCTCACCGCCGCACACACACGACACACACGGGCACATGACCCACCGGCACACCACACGGTACACCCAGACACACACCACCCTCAACCAGCCCCAGCGCACAGGGAGCCTGGGCTGGCCCTGACCCAGGACGCGGATGCAGAGGTCAAGGGTTTGAGAACACGCATTGCGCATGCGGCTCACCTTCAACCTGTTCCAGACTTAGAGATCCCCACGCAGCTGTTTGCACTCAGCCGCAGCTTCTTCCAAAGAGAATTCTCCCAAAATTCGGGATGAGAATCACAATCACAGAGCCACAGCGTCTGGGGGCCCCAAATCAGGAAAGCAGGGCGTCCTAGAACCCCACGTCAGTCCTCCAGCACAGTCCCAATATCGTCTCACCCCGGAAGACTTTGGGGTCCTGGTTAGGCTGGGGGCCCCTCTACTGCATTTTCCCGGCCCCTCCCCCTTTCGGACTTGCCACAGAGTGTAGTTCATTTTAGATTTTTATGACTTGTAATATAAAGTTATAATTTTATAACTCAATATCACCGTTTTCCTTCTCTGCCTCCCCAGCTAGCCCTTAAGCTCCTAGGGGTGGGATCTATGTAAGACTCCCCCAGCATCCCCGGTGCTCAGCTGGGGCAGAGAGTAACTGCTCACCTGTTCGTAGTCTTGCTGGATGAACACATGGAATTTCAGCACAGTGGACCCTTAAGAGTAACGGAAGGCCCCTCCGTGCCGTGTTGCCCATCTTCCAACCGAATGTGGAACCTCCTATGGGCCCTCCAGGGAGCAATTAGTGTTGGACAATCTTGGGACCAGCCACCCCTTCCTCCTGGGGTCCGGAGGCTTGGCCTTTGCTCAGGCC